TTTGAGATGTTATTCCCTAAAATGTATTTTTTTCAATTGTGTGCAATTCCTTAAAGTATTCAAAAGCACATCCAGTAAGTTGGCGGTTCTTAGTATGCGTCCGTCCATTTGAGCCCACAAGTCTATTCTAGCAATTTCGGTCCTCCTCAGCCCTTCCAGTGAAACATTTTACAAATGACAAAGGCAATTTTGTCTCCACAGTTTTATTAGCTGGTGGGAGACCCTGTCTCTGACCCCAGAGGCATGTTAGAGAAATGTCCAAGTCAGGACAGAAACACTGGTAGAGGATTAGTTCCCCCCAATGAGCCTGAGAAAGGAGATTTCTGCGTTGGAGGAGAGGACGGGGCCCTGGCCAAGCGTGCTGTTCAAATCAGATGGATTGCGGTTTCTCTGTCCCACTTTCTTCCCCCTTTTTTTTCAGCTGAAGCGGCCTGTATTAATACTCATAGGCAAAATAGAACAGGGTTAGACAACATGTGAATGATGGCGCTTTTTACACCATAAATCATATTGTCACGACAGTTTAAGATACCACTGGGCTTAACATCTTGTCTTTATTACAGCTAGAGGCAGATGTATGAGAGTTTTTAGTGGAACGGATCAAAAATCATTTAAATATTCAAGATGTCGTGATTTTTTCCATGTTCAGAATGTTTTTTAATTTCAAGTTTTGTTTTGTTTTTTCCAAAACCTATTATCACTCCAGTGGAGTTACTATTAGTCATGGAAACTATTGGAAGGTTATGAAAGTTAAAAAGATTAACAAAATCAAATTACGCTTACAATAAAACAGACACAGTAAAGTAGTATTCTTTAATTTCATCAGTACAATTCATATCAGTTGTGAGGCCTGCCTGTTGTAATGTTTTTAACTTGATGCCTTGCAGAAAAAGTACAAGCACACTGCGCCACTTAACTTCTGGCTGTTTGTCACTTTTACTTTATCCAAATTGTTGATCAAGTTACCTGAATTTATATTCCAGCAACCCAAGAAGGAGGGAAACTGACCAGAGAATAATTTCATGTCACTAAAGTGTGACCATTAAGCACTGTGAGTGTTTTTTAAAACAATTATAATCAGCTTTACCCCCCTCCCTGCAGCATCAGTCTTTGGCTTCTGCTATGCCGGCGATGCCAAGAAATACTAAATCATGTATGTTAGAAATTGCAAACAAATGTTACCTTTCAAACAGCAACTGGTAGGGGGAGTCAGTGCGGTTACGAGGTCCGCTGTTAACAGTTTCGACAAGCCGAACTGACATAAAGCATATAGTTTCTCTTGTGATTTTATCAACCATGTTTTATGATTTAATGCCTTGCAAACAAGAAACTACTGCAGACCCGCCAGATTCCTAACTTCCATTTCAGGCCCCCACGAAGTCCCCCTATGCTCTCAGTCCTTTCATAGTAAGAGCCTGTTTTTCAGTACATTCATTGATTAGATTGGAAAGTGGTTCATGCCAGAGAGCTGCTCTTAATGCCAGATCTGAACTCTCCAGCAGCTTGCAAAGTCTTGGTGAGTACTGAATGTTGGCTGGATGCTGCAGACTCCTCTGTCACTTCCCACTCGGCTGACACAACTAAAGAACATTCACCCGCAGCTTTCCAGACCCACATTACGCTCACTTTACACTGTGTCCATGCAGAGAGAGAGAGAGCGAGTCCCCATGAATCAATCCACGAGGAGCAAAGTTTGAAAAGCTTCTTAACGAATTGTCTAATCTGTACACCGTCCCTGACATGTTATGATGGCAGTGATTTCTCTTGTTATTGTACGGTCAGAATGGTAGTGGTGTTTATTTTGGAGAAAGCGGCGTAGTGTTTACGGAGGCAGTCCGAGAGGCTGTTGTGCAGAATGACACTGTAAATATTAACGCTGCGCTCACCTCTCTGCCTGCTCTCGCCTTGCAGATATTGATGAATGCGACAACGAAACCATCTGTGGGAGCAACGGCTTCTGTGAGAACACAGACGGCTCATTCCGCTGCCAGTGTGACCAAGGCTACACCAACCCTCCGGGAGATATGACCAGATGTGTCGGTGTGTAACTGCTGTCCAGAAAGTATCCGCTGTAGACAAGCTAAACTAGCCTGTTCATATAAATGTGTTTTTCAAAATTAAATACGCTATGTTGAAATATATTCCAATATAATCCATAATTCGTTGGTCAGAGTCGTAGCTATGCCTCTGTACACCTCCATGGTGGATGTTAAATCAGAGTTTTATAAAGATAGTCTATGAACTGTTTAGGAAATACACTCGTTTTTATACACAGTACCCCATTTTCAGAGGCTCCAAAGCCTAAATCTTAAATATGATATATATTTTTTAATACAGATGAAAATGTTGCTGTCTTGACTTCCTGAGGTTTAGAACCCAAGGCCCAAATACTGTGTTTCCTCCCCGGAGATGCTCTCCTAGTTCTTTACTGCAGCCACCTTAAGCTGCTGCTTGTTTGTGGGTGTCTCTGCCTACAGTTTTGTCTTCAGCAACTAAAAAGTGTGCTCTGTTGGACTGAGACTGACTTGGCCATGAAGAATATCCTATTTCTTTCCCTTGAAAAACTCTTGCAGTATGGTTTGGAATTCATTCAACGCTGTGAAGAGCTGTCTGATTACTTTTGCAGCGTTTGGCTGAATCTGGGCAGAGAGTGTGGATTTGTACACTTCATTCATCCTGCTGCTGCACAACATCAGTTAGATGCTATAAAGTGTTTGTTTTTTTTATTATTAGATATGTAAGTAATTTTGTCATGATTTACTTTAGTTCTGTGATCTTTCAGCGCTTTTGGTGTTGCTGAGCTGGTCAGTGCATTCATTCTTTTTAAAAATGCTCCAGTTTGACGATTCGCCGACTCCTAAAGTTTTTGCTGTTTTGTTTTTGCCTATTGGTGGCGTCATATTCATATTTAAACACCCTGCATCAGTTTCAGCGATTATGTCTGCTTCATTTTTCATGGAATAAGAATGGAGCAGGCCTCTCCTGGACATGAACCTGCTTGTCAATTGTCCAGTTACTTCTGAGCCTCTGAAAATGGGGGCTGTGCATAAAAATGGGTGTAATTCCTAAACAATCGATGCAGCAGTTTTGTTAAACTTCTTCAGTTAAAGTTGGAACTTCAGTCACATCTTAACTGTTTGCTTTAAACACTGCAGCGGTATACTGAGACAAAACTACAAAAATTGTATCTTTGTCCAAAAAATTACGAAACTAACTGTTAATAGTCATTCTGAACCACTTCCACGTATGCACTCTCATAGTCTAAATCTTAAAAGTACATCTTTTGTGTACAAATCTGCAAATGAAAGACTTTCTAACGCATACACTGTTAACACTCATTTGACAAATGTCTGGTAAAAACTACATCCTCCAGCTGAGAATTTATTTGACTGGTTATTAAACAATAAAAATTGACATTTATCATCTATTTGTAAAAAGTCAAATATTTATTAACAGCGATAGATAGATAGATAGATAGATAGATAGTTTTATAAAGAAATGCATGAAGGACTTTTCTTTCATTTGAATATCAAGTACTCTTCTGACAACTGTGTGCATGTTCCCGATCCTTTACTGACCTAAAGCTTCCTCTCCTGCTTTTCTCAGACGTGAATGAGTGCGAGATGAGCTTGGCGCTGTGTGGGGAGGCCCTGTGTGAGAACTTCGATGGCAGCTTCCTGTGCATCTGCCCCAACGACAATGAGGAATTTGATCCCCGCACCAGCCAGTGTCGTTCCATGGGTAATAGAGCAGGACTAGAACTCACAGTGACTCACAGGACTAAATTCTCAATCCCGTCATTGGGAGACGAAGTTTTCCCTGATTTAATGAGCCGTCTCTCATTATCCAAACAAGGGCGACTAGGTGGACATGGCTTACTCCACGTCTCTTAGAGTATCTTTTGACCTGCGCGTTTCCTTTTTTTTTTCTTTACAGGCTGGGGTCATGGATGGGTGGGTTTCCCGCAAAGATTTGTATTAGCCTAATCCGCCAGACAAACGATGAAGTAACTTCTCGATCGGAGCCAAGCAAATGCCCTGGGGCCTTAGTTACCGTAAACCCATTTCCCCACCAAGACAAACAGGGATAAGGTGTAGCTATTAGCAATTAGAGCTAAAGACACATTGCTCTGTGCTCTTGTGCTAAAATAATCGGAAAGTGCAGAGGTTAAAGATATGCAATGCAGTGTAATTTCAGGATGACTAAAGCCTTTTGAGTCATGGAAATATCATCACATTCCCAGTTTGATAGGCACATGTGTACACAAATTGGGGGTATTTACATTATTAAGCTACGTGCCCTCAGCGGGGATGTTTTTTCTTCTGCCTGGGCTCTAAACCCCAGTTATGCCTTTGTGTACCTTTCTGCCACATTCCACTGTTTGCTTTCGACGTGTGTTAATCAATCATGTGAGACTGAATGGTGTGTTGACTCACATGCCAGTGTTTCCATTTGGCTAAGCCAGCAGCTTAACGGTGAAATGCCTGAGCCCATGCCTTTGGACAAATGAGCAGGCTCAGCAGTGGCAGGCGAGGGTAATGCACTACCTGCTGAAGGGATGTGGACGGATGAAAGAGCGGAGGCCCTTTGACACTGTTACGGTGTGATGATGTGCACCTCAAGGTTAGGATTTATTGTAACTTTAGCTTCCTGGAGAGCTCATCTGTGTAGTGAGGTATGACTTCAAAAAGCTGTATCAGAGAGCATTTTTCCTTCCTCAAACACCGGACCGTGACTAAATCCACAGATGCTTTCACGACCGTGATCTCTGACATCCCCTCACCTGCTTTATTCTTTGTTCACCTACAGCTGAGAGGGACACCAAACCCATTCCTGCATTCCCCACCTGGGCAGAGGAGAGGAGGGAGTGCTATTATAATCTGAATGACGCCAACTTCTGCGACAACGTCTTGTCTCACAACACCACCAAGCAGGAGTGCTGCTGCACGGCTGGAGCAGGCTGGGGCGACAACTGTGAAATCCACGCCTGTCCCGTCCAAGGAAGTGGTACAACAAGAGCTTTATTATCGGAATAAAGTGAACATATTGTAATATTAGAACAGCATTTTTCTGTGTTTTGTTAATCTGCTTGTCTTTGTTTTTCAGGTGATTACAAACAGCTGTGCCCTTACGGCAGTGGATTACTACCCTTGCCTGTTTCCTCTGTACAAAGTTTTGGAGATGAGCAACGGGCTTACATAGGTACACACTCTTCGCTCGTAAATGCTACCTCGTTTTGTAGATTTTTCCTGTTTTAACCCCTCAGCCGTTAAAGCACGATGGGGTTTTGTTCTCACACTGGGGTTGGGCATGCAGCATGGACTCCCAAGTTTGCAAATGTGATAACTCGAGAAAGAGGTTAAATAATGGAGGCCTTGATCTCAAGTTTAAGATCAGAAGTCAAGTATTCTGAAAATCTCTAAAAAAAGATGTCACCTTAGTTAGTTAATATTAGTTACCTTGACCTCAGAGTCAGGGTCACAGGGTCGGGTTTTCTGAAAATCTTGTGCAATAACTTGAGAAGGAAGTCAGGATTTTCAAATGTATACAATAAGTGCATCAGGGGTTAGGACTGGCTGTCAACAGCATTTTTAATGGCACAAAAAGGTGAAATGTTTTATTTTCACCTGCAGCAACTTTTAAAGCCAGATGGACCGGCCTCATGGTAAACGTGCCTTTATACCTGAGTATTTACTGTAATTGCAGCTTTTTAAAAAAGAAGCGAATGACAGTTCTAGCACAGTGCCAGTGCTTTTAGAAACAGGGTCAGGATTTGAAACTTTTTCAGCTCACACATCGCAACGTGACGCACATGACGCAGCTTTCTCTGTCTTTGCCCCTTAGATGCAAATGAATGTGAGATTTTTGGGCCCGACATCTGTAAGAATGGGCAGTGTTCAAATCTCTTTTCTACGTATACTTGCTACTGTCGCTCCGGCTTCTTCTACGATAACATCCGGCTTGAGTGTGTGGGTAAGAAAGTCTTTTTTTTTATTACCTATTATGTATGGTGTATGTATAAATGTATGGTCTCATTCGTGGTCTGCTTTGTATTACCATGCTAATGCGCTAAAATGCAATGATTTTGGTGACGTCTGGGTCTCTTTGCACTAATTCTTTTAAGATTATGATGAGTGTGCATTTGGAAACGTCTGCGAGAACGGGGTGTGTGTGAACACGGCCGGGTCATTCAACTGTTTCTGCAGTCCTCCGTTGGTTCTCGACAGCACACGGCGACGCTGCATTGATCTCAACACCACAGAGGGTGTGACACACACACACACAAACCGATTCAAATTTTTTTTTTGACAATTTATTCTTCTTGGATATTCAAAGAAAAAGTCTAACTTGGTTAGCTGACTCTTAAAGTGATAGTTTTCCGATTCTCTTATTTTTTTCTGTCAAACCCTTCGCATTGTACATCCCAGAAGTTGTGGACTCAGAAGATGACGTGCACGTGGATATTTGCTGGCAGCAACTCGAGGGCGACAACGTGTGTGCCAAACCGCTATCAGATCGCAGAACTACATACACTGAGTGTTGCTGCCTGCACGGTGTTGCCTGGAGTGAACACTGTGCCCTCTGTCCCAGGAAAGACTCTGGTGAGAAGCAGGAATCAGATAAGATAGTGATTTTTTTTAGTTTCATAATGAATCTATGTACCATGTTCATAGCATAGCATATTCATACACTAACGATTTTGTAATTTTCCATTTGATTTTAAAAGTAAATGATCATTTCTATCCCTTGTTTGCTGTTGTGTACAGCTGACTATGCAGTAATGTGCAACGTAAGAGGAAGTTCAGATAGTCTGCGAGAGCGAATAGGATATGAGTATGGTGTTGAGGGGATAGATGACCCTCCAGAACATTTTGGCCCTCCATACTGGGATCATTACGGCGGTGCTGGTGGACCCTATGATATTTCTGAAGGTGAGAACTACTACGGCGTTCAACAGCCACCCCTCCACGTCCCCGTCCGTGTGCCCAGTGTGCAGCCGAGAGAGTACCAGCCGCAGCGAGTGGATCCATATGCTGGTGACTATATGCATGCAGTTTTGTTCTGTTTAAGTAGTTTAACATAATATTTTATAAGCTTATCAGGTATAGGCAAATATACCTACCTGGGATTCAAAGTAGCTTTAATATATACAGCAGCTACAGTACTGTGCAAAAGTCTTGAGCCACACCCTGCTTTCTTTATGTTTTTCTAGGAAATCAGTACATCAGTTTATTAAACTGTGCAAACATACATGGATATATATATATAGCATATTAGGCAGAAATTTAGCAGCTTGTACCATTCTAACAAGCCTGAAAGTCAGTATTTAGTATGAGCACCTCTATTCTTGAACACAGCCTGAACTCTCTTAGGCAAGCTTTCTTGTAATTGCTTAAGTAGTCTTCAGGAATAGTTCTCCAGGCTTTTTGAAGAACATTCAAAGCTCTTCTTTGGATGTTGGCTCATACTTGTTAAGCATCATGACAAGATGATCCCACACCGCTTCAATAATGTTGAGCTCTTGGCTCTGGGGAGATCAATGACTGACAGTATTCCATTCTGTGTTTTTCTATCCAGGTATGTTTTTACTGTATTGGCAGTGTGTTTAGGATTATTGTCACGCTTAAGAATGAAGCTGTTTCCAATCAAACCAGATAGTATTGCATGGTGGATCAAATCTGATCTATTGTTCATAATTCTAACAGTTGTGACAAGATCCCAAGATGATCACAGATGCCTGTAGACACTCACTGCTGTACCTCTCTACTGTCATCTCCTTTGTACATTTTGACAAGTTGAACCAAAAATTTCTAATTTGGATTCTTTACTCCATAAGACCTGTTATCTCTGATCATCAGCCCAATCACTGTGTAATTTTGGATACTTCAGCCATTTCTCCTTCTTTCCCTTCCTTAAGAATGGCCTTTTGATAGCCACTCTTTGAATGAGACCTTTCCTGATAAGGCTTCATTGAGACATTTGTCCAATTTCTTAAAGACGTAGCTTACAAACACTCTTCATCTGCTGTAGATAATTTTTTTGTTTTAAAGACACACCGCACACCATTCCAATATATGTCAGTTTTTCATCTAATAGCTCTTTGTAAATCACCTTGTTGGTGCAATTACAATACAATTTTATGCTGTCAAACATCATTATATTTAAAATTATATGCAGATTCAATAACAGAAATTAGAGCAAATTATGTGTTGTTGAAAGGGTTAATAGTAGCAAAATGGCTGAAGAAATGACCTAAAATTGGTTCTTTGCTAAGTTGTCTCTTAAGTGTAGACACAACACTAGTTCATCCCTCGAGTTTGGTGCTTTTTTAATCTTGAATGATCGATGGATCAGTGTTAAATGGCTTAAACATTGCTGAGAAAATAGTCAAGGACTGGGGTGAAAATGAGTGAAAAAGCAGCCAATGTCCAAAGAAAAACTTTGAAAGACCTTTAAAAGCCTGGAAAACTGTAGCTCAAGTACAAGATACAAGTCTGGCTCCTTAGAACTAGGATGTAAAGAAATGACGGGTGGCTCAAAACATTTGTACATCAACGTATAAGCCAGAATATTTTATGTTAGTTTTGTGAACAAGGATATCAAATGACCTGTTAGTGGACTGGATGTCCTAACAGGTCAACTGACGTCTAGCATTATGAGAGTTTGAAAATATTTTCTTTAAATAAATGTTGCAACAATATCATGTCTGTCTGTATATTTGTCCAATCAGAACGCTATGAAGGTTTTGAAGGTCTCCGGGCGGAGGAATGTGGAATCCTGAATGGGTGTGAAAACGGTCGCTGCGTTCGAGTGCGAGAGGGCTACACCTGCGACTGCTTAGACGGTTATGAACTTGATCTAGACAAGATGGCCTGTATAGGTGAGTTTTTCCTGCAGCATCTTTAGGGGTCTTCTCAGTAGGCTTCCCACATTTAGATCATGTTTTCCTAATGAAGAATGTTCAGGGACTTCCTTGGATCAATAGGAGAATCAGTCACTTTATATAACATCATATCTCATTTAAAAATATGGTGCTGAATCTTGAAAACAAACCACAGTGAACTCTGCTTTCATGTTTCAACCTTCTGGAGCCAGTAGGTTAACTCTTCATGCAGTAAATCTTTGCCCTCAAGGAAAAGCTTTAAATTTAACAACCTTGCATTAACTTGTGTTTTACGGGAAACTAATGAAAGCCGTGTACTCCACAAAACCATCGTGTGTTACCCTTTGGTTTGACATTCTCTGGTTGTACACTGCCAAGAGCAAGGAGGCCTTGAATCTTAGCCACTTGTGTGTTACATGAGATATTTTTTTTAAATGTACTTTGTTTGTTTTGTAAGAAAACAGAGTCCGTCTTTTCGTAATGAAATTCTATGATTGCAAGATTGTGTCCGCTACAGGCTTATCGACTTCAAGGTTAGCCAGTTTTCCCAAGAAAAGTCATTGAAAACCGTGGAAACATGTGGGAGCTATGCAACTCATGCCCTGCCTCCTTTTATAAATCTCACCGCTAGCGTTTCCCCAGCAGAACATGACATAAACACAAAGAGGGTCATTTGAGATTGACTGCTATGAAATGACAATCAGACCTCCCATGCTGGAAAAGAGAAAGAACAACCTGTTGAAGGCCAAAAGGAAACACAATCCAGTGGATTGTTAATTTTACCATCATTCTTAGAAGTCCGGCTCTCAAGATGGCTGGGAAATCGAGTGCAGATCCTGTCCAGCTGACACGCAACATGACGGCATGTTTGATTAAAGATATATGAGATTCTATGCAACACGTTTATCGTGTTGAGGGAAAGTACCTCCAACAGCAAACCTTTGTGAAAGTAATTAAAACACTTGTGTTGGTCACTTGTTGAGCAGCTACGGCTGAGGAGATAGGATGAGCTGTCCACTTATCAGAAGGTTGGTGGTTTGATCCCCACCTCCTCCAGTCCACATATCGAGTGAACCCCAAATTACCCCTGATGCATTCACTGATTTGTATACTGTATGATGTGAGTCGAACAATACTTCAAGAGAAAGGCAAGCACCTAATCCTCACATTTGAGAACTATTAGCTGTTTGATTAATTTTCTTGAAAAACAAGTAATTATCAAAAGTATTTTCATGTGCTTAAATCATAGTTTCTGATGTGATCATTTATCACGATGAAAAGTTAGAGCAGAACTCAAATTTGTTGGAGTTTAACATGGAAAGGACAGGAAAGGAAAGCAAGGAGAGGAAAGGACAGGAAAGGGAAGGAAAGGAAAGAATTATAATTTTGAGGTGACCCCTCAGCAGCAGATGTGTCATAGGCAGCTTTTCCTTCTTGGATTCTCCCTGCTGACTAACTCATGCTGTGTCCTTTCTCCTCAGACATAAACGAGTGTGAGGACATCAGCGACAAAGTGCCTTTGTGTCAGAACGGGGAGTGCACAAACACAGAGGGATCGTACAAATGCACCTGCTTGCCGGGCTTCGTGGCCTCCGCCAAGCCACACAAATGCATCCCGGCGATCCCAGAGTCTAGGCTTAGGGAGGCAGGAAACTGAGTATGTTGGAGTGCCGGCTTCTCTGCCCATTTTCCCCCCAGGGCTTGACTCTAAACCTCCAACAGTAATGCTGAAACGTCCAGTCTCGTTTCCCTACATACCACACGCACACATACTGACGCATGTACATATAGAAAACACACACTTGCATTCAGCACAGGATGCATTATATCCCCCTCACACACATTCAAGAGGACCAGGAATTGTGCAGTGAATGTATTACATGGGATTTAGCATTCTCCAAATATCCATTTGCCTTAAAGGGATTTTGTGGACTTTTTTATTCAGTAAGCCCAGGCAATTTGATATGCAGATATATATATATTTCCACTTTATTTTCTCTATCACCTTCTCTTTTTGTGTGTTATTTATTTCATTTACATGACGGGCCTCTGCTAACTAAGAAAGCAAAATATTTCAGATGGCGTACTTGATTCGTCTCGTTTTACTTGTCTCGGTAATTGATGTCAGAGACCGTGTGGGGAAATAATAAATGTATTTTGTAAAAGAAGGAATGTCATCAGAAATCAGCCATACTGTATATCGGGATGCTCATCACTGTCAAACCTCTCATCAATTTCTCAGTCTCAATTACATTGGACTAAACAGAAATTCAACACGGAACTTTTCCCACAGCTGTCTTTCTTTAAGATGACCTACAAGCTGCCGTTGAAGAAGCTCTGGACTGAGAACTGGGAGGTCAAAGCAGCGAAGCTTCCATAATACCAGCTTCACCCTTTATGTGGGCATGGAGAGACTGTAGATATATAAGATGATCTGTGTGACACACGGAAAGCATTGTGATGTACTCTCACTGACCAGATCATTAGGTGTACCTTGCCTAGTACTGGTTTGGGCCCCCTTTTGCCTTCAGAACTGCCTTAATTATTTGTGGCATAGATTTAACAAGGTCCTGGAAACATTCAGCAGAGATTTTGGTCAGTTTAAGTACAGTGATCTCATTTTCATGTTGAAGAAACCAGTTTGAGATGATTAGAACTTTGTGACACAGAGTATTTTCCTGCTGGATGCAGCCATCTGAAGATGGGTACACAGTGGTCATAAAGGGATGGACATGATCAGCAACAATACTTTGGTAGACTTATTTGGTACTAATGAGCCCAGGTGGGATCTCTGCTTATCCTCCTGAGACCCAGCTTGTTCATGTCCTCTGTAGTGGACAAACAAATCACAAAAAAAGTTCAACTAAAAGATTTTTTTTTCTCTCAGTTCTCAGGAGTAGAAATATGCCAAAAAAAAATCTCTCACACCATTACACCACCACCACTAGAACCAATGATCCATGCTTTCATGTTGATTATTCCAAATTCTGACCCAGCCATCTAAATGTCATAGCAGAAACGGAGACTCATCAGACCAGGCAGCATTTTTTCAATCTTTGTTTGTCCAATTTTGGTGACCCTGACAGGACTAGCGCCCAGTCTGGTCGTTTGCTGCTGTAGCCAATCTGATTCAAAGTTTAACATGTACATAGACCCTTCTTCTAAAACCTACAGATGGTCATGTGGGAAAAATCTCAGCAGCATCTGATGCGTACTTTGATCTTCATCAACTCGTTATGACCAGGTCTATTTACTAAAATGTAGAGTCGCTGCCATGTAATTGGCTGATTAGCGAGTTCCATTAAGGAGCAGATAAACAGTTGTACCTAATGAAATGGACAGTGAGCGTATATAACCTGTCTTCTTATGTTTGACTCCATTTTCATGCGATATCAGCAGCATTGTAGGAAAACAGTATCTTTCTTATTAACAGTATTAAGCTTGTTTTACAGTAGACGGTCACAGCGTTGATTCTCTTTGTTGGCTTTGAAAGTGTGCGACGGCAAATTTGTTTCATGCAACCACATCAAACAGGCAAAAGGATTTCTTTTTCCACACATAACATATTTGGAATTCGAATCTCACATCCAGACACTTCCCATGTCTGCATCTCTGACCCCATGTAAAGACAAAGGCTTCATTTGTTGGAGAGGTTTGGTATATTTTGTACAGATCTAGTACTATGTATTATTTTTGTTATATATTCTCTCATTGCATTATAGCACAACAAATATTTTGTTCGACATAAAACATAAAATGTAAGAAATATCTGTCATTATAGCTTTTTGTAGATTTATATGTCTGTAAAAATGTTTTTTTAAAGCATTTCTTTTTATGTATGAGGAGAGTGGCTGACACTGTACCAGAGGAACTGTGTGAATACCCTGCCCTGTGGAGCAGACAATGAATTATATTTTTTGGAAGTGGCAGCACTGTTCTAATTACAGACATTCTGACTCCATTGCAAAGACGATGCTTTTGGAAGGCGAGCACCCACTTCTGCACATCACAACTTTACAGCTAAATATTAGTCGTTGTGAGCTTTAGTCTCTGGTGGATCCTTATGTCATGAATGTATCATAGACAGTATCAGCTTTCTGGTTTCTGAGTAACCACACGTGCCTTGTAGTCTTGTATTTTCAGGATGAAATTGCAGCAACACAGAAACATTAAAGTCTAATTCAGAGTCTGGAGGATGACTAAATTTTGCCATTAACCTGCTACCCCAGCCTATAAACCTACAGTTGTATAAATATTTTGTGTTGTTTTCTACATTCACTATTCTCTTCTGGTTAAATCATCACCTGAACCATAACTTTAAGATTTAAAAGAACTAAAAGAATAGTTAAAATCTTTCAAAACCACAAATAACCTGAGATAAATGTAAAGCTGTGGTCAGTGGAAACATCATGCTCATTCATTTTGTTTACCTCTTGACTGTAATCACTATCAGTCATCAAAATAAAACATAAAAAAAGATCTGCACGTTTGATAATTTACTTTGACAAATAGCACCCAACACACATTGCATTCACCATGTGTATACGCGCAGAGCAATTTGGGGAGTTTACTGGGATAAAACAAGAACAGTAAGTTTGTTTTAGTATGCAATATACAAATGATGATCATTAAAGTCATTAGGGCTTATTGCTACACAAAGCTGTGAGGTTCCCAAACAGTGTGGTTAAAGTATCTACACCAATCATGGGCATATTATTTTGTAATCATGATATGTTTGGTGGTAATTGTTGGAACAATTTAAATCAATCAATAAAAACGAATAACTTATTTTATATTTTTAAAATAGAGTTTAATTGTTCTATAAGCTTTCAAATCATTCTGAAGTAAAAGTATTGATGCAGAAACACATCTTGTCGTTAAACACGTGTAGGATTTCTTTCTTTTTCTTTTTTTTCACAAATGTCAGTGTTTTTCCCTCTAAAATAAATTAAGCCTTATTAGTAACTACTGATGTTACTGAATTATTATCAAAGTAAATTTGTTTGAGAAACCATATAAATTGAGTTATTTTGATTTTTTTTTATTACTTCTGCTAAGGAGGTTACGTTTTTGGTAGCATTCGCGTGCACGTCATTCTTTCTGTCTGTAAACATATTAGCTCAAAAAGGCTTGAGAAACTTTGCAGGGGTGTAGAATGATGTGATGTTTAAAATCCATTAAAATCTGGCTTACACCCACCAAGGTCTTCAGGGTCAGCTCGATGATTTATTGGTCAAAAATGGACAAAAAGCCTTATGACTTCGATAAATACTGTGATGACTATGATTCTTACACGTATGTTGTGTCCTGTCAACATATAGAAAGCAACATAAAACAATAAAAAATATCTTGTCACATTTGACCTCTGACCTCAGCTTCAGGGTCAAAAGATTGATCTGAAGGCCAAAGTTTTATATAAAGAATGATATATACGTATATTACAGTAACAGGTTATAACAATATGAATACATGTTCCTGAATGAGTATTATTATTTTCTGGAAAACAAAAAAAACCCTCTAGATTTTACAAGGTCTTAAATAATCAGGCCCCATCTTATCTTAATGACCTTGTAGTACCATATCATCCTATTAGAGCACTTCGCTCTCGCTCTGCAGGCCTACT